TTTCCACGCCGATACCACAGATCTGTGATCAGCTAGTTTTTGGTCAATAACCTTGACCTGGTCCATTTGTTGGCTGGGTTGTTGTGATGGTAATGTTTCACCGCTTTGAACTTCTCAATTAAACCATCCACTGTTCCAAATGTACAACACGTGTATCAGAAGATATAATCGAAATCACTGTTCGTTAAACATTCTTTTGCCAACACTAGCTCTAGAAGTGAAAGTAAAATGTTTTCCCATTTTAATCTGAGTCACTTTGTTTGGCAACAGTGGCAGACAACACTGGCCTAAAACCAACAGACAGCTACTGACCAGACTTCATCAGGCCAAGTCTGAATCCTCTACTCACTTGTGTTTTTCACACTTTAATGCCCAGACTGAACTGTTATTTACATTCAGAGTCATGCTGAACCATCCTGACTCCAGCAGGCCACAAGGCTCCTCTATGTGTGAGCAGGAAGCCTGTGGCGGAGATTTAAAGCCTCAGATAGCGGATTCAAACCCAGCCCCGGCTTCGACCGCTTCCACCGTGACGATCTTAAAATGTGACAGAGAGAAACCTGTTCACCAAACTCATACCAGAGGCTCGGGTGATGGATGGAGGGGACCCTATGGTTTCATTTCTACACACTTAAAATAGACCAAGTCAACAGAGGCCATTAGTCACTAGCCCTGTGCTCTAACTGTCATCTCAATTTACACATTTCACACCAGCTACAGTTACCCTAACGTCAGATTAAATCCGTGCGTTACCTCGCATTAAACATGGGGACTGAGGTAGATCACCAAACAGCGGCTGGGTTGACAGGCAGATACTTGTGGAAGCTTGCTGCTGTTTAGAGCCAGCACGGCCTGGCTCCTGGGGACCCAACATTAGCACCAACTTGGCCAACCAGTGCCAACACGACGGTAACAACATGGTTGTTGTTGGTTAGCCGGACAGCTATTGCTAGCTAAAAACACAGCCACCCGAGAGCTAGCTGCTTGTTGTTAGCACGGAAGCAAACCGGGCTAAATCGTGTCTAATATTAGCCGCGATGATTGCACTGAAGGTCATAAGTTAGCTAGCTAGCAGCAAGAGGATTTAGCTCGAAGCTAACTAGCAGCTTTGAACAACAGCACCTGCTTACGTCGCTTCTAGCTTGCTAGCAGTTAGCTCTAGTTAGCTAGCGCCGAGTGTTGCTACTCACCTTTGAGTGCTGCTGCGGCTGGTTTGCACCTAGTGAACTGGTTATGGCGTCCAAACTGCTGCTACGAAGTGCCGACGAATCGCACTACCCGGGAATAGTTTTTGGCTAAAAACGAAGCGTAGCTTTCAGAAAGTCTCAGCCACATGTCTCGCGGTCTGGCTGAGAGTTGGTGCAGCTGGCGCCACCTACTGGAACCGCCGAGCATTACAGCGCATGTCGAGTGGATTTATCCCTCTGCTGCCATCTAAACTACAAAGAAACAACAGCAACAGGTGGGAGAGTAGCCACACACTGCTTTAAGTTTAAGACATGTGGACATAATTGATAGGCTTTGCTTGTTGTCTCCTATAGTTGCTGATGTATTTGGCAAATTTTCAAATATGTATGAAACATATATAATGTGTGAATATGAATAGTGTCAGTGCACAGTGTCTTTATACTTTCAGGTAATCCCAAAGAAAATCTGGTTTAATATCTTTATGGGTTTAAGTAAACAGGGTACTGAGCATTGGTGAGTGCAGTAAGGATGGTCCCAAGTCCCAATGCCCCTCTAAAACACCTTCTATATCACATCTAAGTCTGTCCATTTAAATTAAAACAATATAATAGTAAATTGTCTATTGGCTCACAGAAATGGGTGGGTAAAGCACCTTTATAGTCTTCCAACCACTCAAAGCACTTTGCACTACATGCCACATTTACACAGTGATGGCAAAGTCCATCACAAACAGAAACTAATCCTCATTCCTCCACATTCATACACCGATGCAATTTGGGGTTCAGTATCTTGCCGGAGAAGCCAAGAGTTGAACCACCATTCTCTACTAAGTGGACAGCCTGCTCTACCTCCTGAGCCACAGCTGCCACAATGAATCAGTATTACTGTGCTGATTATAGGCCAACATTTGAATAACTAATTATAATAACACACTAGCCTGTGTGTGTTCACGTCTTTCATTTTACCTAACGTAAGTATATTGTTTGTTGTTCTGTGTCCACAGCAAAATGCTAGCACAGTGTCTGCACAGTGATGACAGAAGAAAACTAAAATAAAGTGTATATAAAGTCTATTTGACACATTGACCTGAATGTGTTCAGAAACATGATTGATGCTCTCCGGTGGACACAGAGAGGAACTGCGAAACTACATAAGATCGTGGCTAACACAGCGTTAATATCAGTAAAATTGTTATTATCATGTGCGCTTTTAATGTGATTATTAAAAACTACAAAGTAACATCAATACTGGTAAAAGACTATCACTTAAACCAGACTTTATAGTCTTCTTCAGTTCACAGGCCCGTTACAGTTAGCGTTACAGTTTTGTTTCAGTCCCACAGCTCTCATCAGTATTGCGACACAGCAGGAAGCTGTTTCCATCGTAAATGCTTTCATAAACATGTAGTTCACTATTTGTCCAGAACCAAATAACAGACAAAGCTAGCCGCTAGCTGGTGAACAAAGTGGAGTAGTTAGCATCTAAAGAGCCAGATATTTCCGTCAGGAATTGGTGGGAACCAAAACCGAGCTAAAGGAGAGTGAATATTGGACTCATTCATCAGACACAACTCCAAATGAATGCTGATGTTGCTCTGCGTCTGCTCCATGAGTGAATAAGCCAATGTCTGCTAGCATGTTCTCCATATAAACCTCATTATTTTCTATTATGTCAGTGTTGTGTTTACGGGTTCTTGCGCTGCCCTCTGGTAGCATGTAGAATCGTTAGGGTTAGCTGCCCTCCAGTGGTCGCAGTGAGGAACTACAGGACTTTTGGTAAATAGAATAAAGCCGAATCTTTGCCTGGGATGGAAACACTGGTTGGGAGAGGTTACTCGAAGTGATAGGTTACTTTCATCACACTACAAAATTGAAGCTTCTCCTTAAAACGCCTTGTGTCTCCCCATATACAAATTTGTAAATCAAATAGTTTAAATGTAGCTAGTCTTGCAGAAGCTGTATATAAGCTGTGTATATTATTAGTATATATTATATAGTCAATATAGCATTTCTAGAGCATGAGAAACAGAAAAATTCAGTTTTCAGTTGCCCCATAAACGAGTGAATATAAAATGACTTTAAAACTAACCTCACTGTAAAAAAGAAGCAAATGATTTACAATCATCATTTTACCGATTAGCCTTTTTCACAGAATATGATGAATGATGGCTGGATTCCATTTAATTCAATTTCAATTCAATTTTATTTGTATAGCGCCAATTCATAACAGAAGTTATCTCGGGACACTTTTCAAATAGAGCAGGTCTAGAC